AGAATGTGAGATCTGCATTCCTTTACTAACTAAAGTCAGTGTATCAGTTTTGTAATATGGTTAAAATTCTTTTAAATGAAAAATGTCACCATTAATTAAGGATTTATGTTTAATTACTTTCACATTATCTTTTGAATTAAGTTTGTGTAGGTAGATAAGTATATGTTGACAATTACAATTAAACCATAAATTAAAATAACTGAAAGGCCCCAGGAATTTTGTTTTCATTTTCAAATGGAGCTAAAAAATAGTTTTTCAAAATGCAAACATGTCCGATAAAAGTCCACAGTTTAATGTTGTTTGTTACAGGTAATACGTGAAAGAAAGCTGCAATATGAAAAAACCAACCCATACAGCAAGAAAACCAACATGATGATTTGGTGGGTAATTCCAACACACGTTGCACATCACGATATTTTTATTAATCATTAAATAAAAAATACCATTACAATATGCTTTGCACGCATTCAACTTCAAGGTTTATATCTTTGGCATCAGAAAACACTCTGGTTCACTTTCAATTGCACATTCTCAAGAAATAACTGACATACTCCCAATCTCGACCGGTTTTTTCCAGTTTCCTGACTCCATTGAGCAAATGCTAAGATGCGCCCCTTGTTTTGCTCTGGACGTAAATGTAGCTTTCAACTATGCCGCACGTTTTAATTGAAACTCTCGTTTTGCTTATAAGGTAAGGGTAGAGTAAGGACGAGTCGCTATTTTGTTAGCAAAATGCAGAAAAATATCATACTTGAATGCGTAGTACCGATACAAAATAAGTTTCTGATAACTCATGTAACCAAAAAATGACTATTTTGTCAAATCTTGCGTATTTTTAAAATTTAATTTTCATTTATGTTCAAACTTTTTACGTCATCTTTCAACTTTTTACAGTTAAATGACGGAAGGGATTCTGGAACTCAAGAAAAACGTGCGCAGATATCTTTTCCCCCCTACGTCAGCATACAAGTTTTTACTTTTTCTTTACTGAATAGAATATAAATCTAAATCAAATCTAGAAGTCTGGATAGGGTGTGCTCTTGAAACATGAATTTTTACCCATCACCAGTCAGTGTACGGTTTTCTTTACCGCGTTTCTCGGGCGTGGCATATTCTGGCATAAGGGATAAAAAAACAGCGGCAATCAACTACCGACTACAAATCGTTCGCGCAGGCTCACTGTGACCCTTGTCATTCACACAACTGGATTGAACGAATCGGGCTTATCGGTCAATCTGTAAAAAGTCGATTACAAAGTTGCCAAATCTATGCGCGAAACCGAACGAGTGGTGGGATAGAGGGCATTCTTTATCGTAGTTCAAGCGTGAGAATCGCTTGTTTTTATTAATTACCATACTATTCAGGCATAAACTGTGCTGTATATTATGCATTGTATTGCTTCATGACTGTTTTATATTAATAGCATAGGTCAAAGGTCGGATGCTCGTCACCATCTCCGTCACATGTAGCGAAGCATCGAACGTAAAATTAAGTGTAAAAAACACTTTGAAATCAAATGCGTTGCCATTAGTCATTTTGGTCTCATCATCTGCTAACGTCATTAGCTTCATTGTTGAGCATGTTTTTATTGCGGGGGGGTGCCTATGATCTTTTCCCGCTAGATGGCGTGATCCGGCACCGACTTACGTCGGCTTGCGAGATTTTCCTTAACCTGGTAACTTCCACCAGCTTGGTACTGCCCCAGTCCGGACAAGATCTAAGCCTCCGACTGGCACGACAAGTGTGAGAGTGTGCTGTATGGGAGTGTAAGTGCGTGTAGGGGTGAGGATAGGACAAGGAAGTTGAAGGAAAGATCGCGTGCCGTCCGTGGCTCATTTGTTAAGTAACTGCTCGGGAATTCCCCTGGTGTTAATCACAGAAAACTCCTGAAAACTACCGATCACAGCAGCCGACTGCAAGAATTATCCTACAGGTAGCGGCTAAATTCAACCAAGCTCTCTAGCTGGCGTCGAAAATACTGCCACTCGAACACTAGGACCTGAATCATCTTTGCCGATTTGTGCGTTGGACAGACTCAAATACATTTGACATTAATTGCCTAGGCTGAAGGCTGGAGCCTCGATGTGGAAAAAAGGACACGCGTGGAGAAGGGTCACTGCGACTTAAACGTAAGAGATTATAAATTAGAAGAAAAGCGCCAAAAATACGAAGCCACCCGCGCACACCTCATTACCGTCGGTTACCACAGCGCCGAAGTACTCCCGCTCGTGATAGGGGCACTGGGAGAATGGTGTGCGGGTAGTGACGCCGCACTAAAGAAAGTTGCAGACGGCTACAAGCTAAAAGCCTTAAGGGAAAAAATAGTCACTGAGGCCATTGATGGCAGTGCGGCATGCTACTATACGCACACCGGCAATATACACCTGGCCCCGCGTGAGTACAAACAGATAGCGCGGGACAGAGTCCACAGAGGTGCCCTCCTCCACCCCATGCCACAGGAAGCTAGCTGCGGAACAACAGATAAGATCTGCAACAATACCAGACGACAAGCTGGAGTCCCTGCGTAGATCACGAATAGAATTATGTATTATAAAAAATATATGTATATATGTATAATACTCATAGAAGTAAGAATTTACACTAAGGCAGACGGCAACTGAAATGTATAAATGTATATATGTATGTATAAATGTATATATTAGATTAAGAAATAAATATTTGTGATAAATAGACGCCATTCCGTCGCAGGTCGTGCTAACGTCCGCCATGTTTTGTCGGAAGAGATCGGTTGTCTGTCATGCGTTACTATAAGGCTAGACAGCTGAAAGCTGCGGCGCGCATGCACTGTCCACTGGAGGATCTATTGTTGCAGTGAGTCTGCGCTAACACATTGTTGATTGCCTTCGTAGGTCGTAAGCGGCGCGTGGCCTTTCTGGACTTGCTGTTGGAGGCGTCCCAGGGAGGAACCGTCCTCAGCGACGAGGAAATCCGCGAGGAGGTCGACACCTTCATGTTCGAGGTGAGCATATTTTCTCTGTCTCTCTCTACCTCTTTGTCCTTGCCTCTCCCCTCCTGGACCTGCTGTTGGAGGCGTCCCAGGGAGAAACCGTCCTTAGCGACGAGGACATCCGCGAGGAGGTCGACACCTTCATGTTCGAGGTGAGCATATTTTCTTTCCACATTCTCTCTCTCTCTCTCTCTCTCTCTCTCTCTCTTTCTACCTGCCTCTCACGACGAGGACATCCACGAAGTCTACATCTTCATGATCGAAGCGAGTGCATCTCTATGGGATTACAACACACGAGAAATACTCAATTCTTTGTCCCACTGTCGTAGCCGACTTCTTTCAGAAAGCTTCTCAAAATTTCGATCTTTTCGAACGAAGAGTTCCTCTTTTATAACCTTCTATTTCTATGTGTAATTAATACAAATTCACCTGGTATTAAAACTTTTTCTTGGTAATGTATTGAGATTGAATTGATTGAATATAAAAATACATATAATCCCGAAATAAAAAAGTAAATTAAAAATGATTAAAGATAATTTTTAGTCTTGTTGTAAACATTTCCCAAATATATTATCTTTGGGTTAAAACAAATTCCATAAAAAAGGAGGATAGTTGTAATCATTTGTAATTAAAACTGTTTCTTGATTAAAATCGGAAATGTAAAACATTGTGAGCTTCCAGTCACGAAACAGTATATTATTATAAGAAACATACCAGTTTATTTAAATTAAAATAAATGTTCACTTGCAGGGTCACGATACGACTTCTGCAAGTCTGTGCTGGACGCTTTTCCTTCTCGGAAATTATCCGAACGTGCAGGTAAGAAAAAAGCAACAAATGGCGCAAACGTTTTGTAGCACAAAATCTGCATAAGTTTTGCAGCTTAATAAAATTAGCAATGTTAATATTTACTACAAAAACGGAAAGACAGAGTCGTAATTATCAGATGGTTTTCTGTGACCCCTTGACATCTTTGTACAGGAAAAGGTCTTCGAAGAGCAGGCATCTATATTCCAAGATTCTGGCAGGCAGCCCAACACTCAAGATCTGGCTGAGATGAAGTATTTAGAGCGAGTGATTAAGGAGAGCCTTCGGTTGTATCCCAGTGTTCCGATAATTGTACGGTATTTAACAGAAGACGTAACAGTCGGTAAATATACACCTTGTATTGCATTTAATTGATATCAATGTGAGTTCAGATATACTATCACCGCTCATCATGTGTCCCATATCTTCGTTCTCATACAGACGTTGATCTGCCGAAGGCAGGTTGAAGGAAAATTTTCATACAATTTTGTTCCCATAACATTCCAGACCACGCAATATCTACATGAGATTTTTTATAAAATTACCTCCACTTCTGTGATCGGCCAAGGCCCGTCTCGGGCTCTCGAGCCAATGACAGGACCGGACCTCAATTCTCTTTCTCCTCTTAAAGCAAAACTAAAGTGCACTATTTCAGATTTTTAATTTTTGCGAAGTCTTTCAGATTTTTAACAAATATCAAAAACAATGAGTAACTTTACCACAATGTCTTCATCGTTACTGAGATGCCAAACAATTGTCTACCAAGTGAATTTTGATTAATGTCATGACAGCAATTAGCCTTTTTGTAATTCAAGATAAATTTGTTACTGGACATTTGCCAGGAGTATGCAACACTGTATCAGTTAAGTAGATTTGACTGTACCGACTGGGATTAGCTCATGGCCTACATTCGTGCTGAGTCTGAAGCTAGGGAAAAAGTGGATCCAGTTTCATTTTCAGTGTACCATATTACTTTTCCAACTTTCTTATTGAGACACTTTTTTAATATTGTCAAAAACAGATTACACGAGTCATATGAAAAATACCTCACTCCCACCCATACACCAACTTGTTTGTGTGTTCCCAGGCGAGCACCTATTCCCTAAGGGATCCAACGCAATTCTGCACATCTTCCACGCGCACCGCAACCCGAAGTATTTCCCCAACCCGGAGACGTTCGACCCCGACAACTTCCTGCCCGAGCGCGTGCAGGGCCGCCACCCGTACGCCTACGTACCCTTCAGCGCAGGCTCCAGAAACTGCATAGGTAAGTAGGATCGAATATCAAGAACTTCACACTTCAAGACGTTATAACGTCGTTCGTTCTGAAAATTTAGTATTAACGCTTCTGAAAAGCTATAACTTAAAATTCTGTGTGTTACACAAATTTGTCAGTTACCAACACCATCACTTCGTTGTGGCATTTCCCAAATCCAGCAAACCACCAGCAGTTATCTCATATCACGATCTATTGTAAAAACACGATTATTGTGGTTGCCAGCTTTTGGGATTTTGGTTTTCTGGTGATTTGTGGTTGCCGGCAGTTAAAATTAAATAATTAGAGGGCAGAAGTTCGCGCTGCTGGAGGAGAAAACGGTGCTGTCGGCCTAATGAATCCTCTTGTGTGAGCTTGCAATGGTTCTTGTTCTGTGCTGCAGGGCAGAAGTTCGCGCTGCTGGAGGAGAAGACGGTGCTCTCGGCCTAATGAATCCTCTTGTGTGAGCTTGCAATGGTTCTTCTGCTGTGCTGCAGGGCAGAACTTCGCGCTGCTATAGGAGAAGACGGTGCTGTCCGCGTAATGAATCCTCTTGAGTGAGCTTGTAATTGTGCTTGTGCTGCAGGGCAGAAGTTCGCGCTGCTGGAGGAGAAGACGGTGCTGTCGGCGGTGCTGCGCCGGTTCCGCGTGCGGGCGCTTGACGCGCCATCTGACGTGCGCCTGTATGGAGAGCTGGTGTTGCGTCCGCAGGGCGGCATCCGATTGGTCATCGAGCCGCGTTGACGTCTTTGCACGCTTCCCCAAACATCTGCGGCAGCCATTTGCAATTTTTGAAACACATATCGACAGCATTTAAGATGTGTCTGACCGCATGAATGGCTTTGTTTGCCACCCAGGAAGATTGGAAAAATATATAAACATAATGGTTTCCACTTCGCGTGTAATATTCATAGATTTTGATATACAAGATTTGACGATTATATTATCTTACGCCCTTACAGCTTCTTGACGTCTTGAGCAGAAGAAGATATTCCTATCACTACTTTTCAAAGACACCCTCAACAAAACTTCTTTTGGTTTACATTTTACTGGTTACCGTTAATTTGTGACGGAAGAAGAACATTAGGTTGTCTAAAACTAAGACTGGAAATGCGACATTTTCTATTACCGACAATTTATGGAGAACAGAGAAATGACTCGTGTAAATGAAAAACAATTAAAATTAATTAAAAAATAAGAACAACTTCGCTGCTTGCAGTACATGAAGGACGAGGGACATGGGGACCATAATCTGACAGCAACAGTTCAAGTGCATTTTCAGCGATATCTCTTTTTCTTCTCAAGCTACTGTACCCCATACAAAACCTGTTTTGTAATTATTTTTAATTCATACATGTTTTTTGGTTTACCTAAAATTTCGCATTTTTGTATTGCTTTTTACTTTCTCGTCCTTACGAAGGTACTTTGTAATGTACTTCGAAGGTACTTCGTAAGAAGAAGAAGTTATGTAATCGTCTGCCGGAAAACGGCAAATTTTTGGCAGAAAACGTTTCATTGCCGTGACCAGGTCACGAAAAGATCACATATTGTGATGAAAAAGTGCTGCTAAATATAGAAAAAATTATTAACAAGAAGTGTTGTCTGAATTCATGTTTTGTGAGTCCTTGATACCAAAAAGCGATTGACGACAAAATGTCTGCGTGTGAGGCTCCTGAAATACAGGTATACGAATGCTCTTCAAGCATGGCGACAATTTGCAGCAAATTCAGACATACACTACTCCTTGAAAGAAGCAAATACGAATGTTCATTTGCTACAGATTTGTAGAATGAGATTCTCTTACAAAAGCAAATAAAAGCTAAACAAGCAGATGCAAATAGAAGTAAAATGTAGCGTAAAAGCTCATGCCCTAAATCTTGCACTTTGCAGTCCTTTGCTAGTCGTTAAATTAAGCAAAACTCGGTAGCAAAAGAGCTGTATTATTAGTGCTCTTTACGTAAAAATCGCCTTCACATGCACATACATGTTTATTAAATGTCGCCTTTGTATTTGATCCATTTAGTATACAATTTAATTATTATTAATTGCCAATATTATCAAGAGTTTTGTGAGACTGTTCATCCAAATGTGTGTCATTCTAACAACGTTTTGCACACTACATTTATAGTTGTCATGAAATTAACAAGTGAATTATTATTGAAAGTGATATGTATGTAAATATTCAATAAATATAACTTGTATTTATTATTATTATTTCACGCTTGTTACTTATCTTATTAAAGTATGAAATAAAATGTTAATATGTTTTCTTTGAAACATTCTTCCTCAGAATTTGACTTGAAAAATTGGAAAGAACTTTCTTTCCAAATACTACAAATTTTGATATGAATCACCCTCAAAATTGTGACAAGGACAGCCAGTGTTGCCAGATGTGTTTAGAGAGATTCCGCCATTTCCGTTTTCAGTTCCGCACCGAAAATCCGCTGAAATTGATTTTAAATTTTCCCGCCTAAAATCCGCTAAACGTAAAATAATTATTTTTCCATATTTAATGCTGTATTAATTTATTCTATTAAAACAAAAAATATGATTGCGAATATAGTGGCTTAATTGAACCTGTAATTCTAATTTTTAGATAGTATAGAATGCACTTACTTGGGTGAAAATTTGCAAAATAATAACAATTGATTACAGGTAGTATATAATTTATTGCATAAGTATATATATATATTTATTCTTGCTAGTAACATAGGAGTTAGAAATTTTCAAAACTATACATATGTGCAAGACAACTTATTAATAGAGGTCAACAAAAACTGTGCTTTACTAACTTATAATTCCCGCCGTTTATTCCGCTGTCCCGAAACTGCATCTTTTTCCGCCGTACGAGTTCAAAATCCGCTGAAAACAGCGGGAATTCCGCCAATATGGCAACACTGAGGGCAACAATCGTGTGGAAAAATCGCACGCTAGGAAGAAGCGTAGGCCTACTGTTCTCGCTCGTACCTTAGCAACCGTGATAGAGTAATAGTTGTTTTTTGCTCACTCTGGGCTTGTTCTAAGAACCGCAAACAAATTTATAACAGTGTTTAATTTTTTACCGTGTACAAAAATCCTTTTTTGTTTATACTATCTGGCATAAACTTACTTTTTTAAGTACGTAGTTGAGATTAAGTTTTTAATGCTACTGCAAAAAGTAGCGTTTTCTTCGAAAAAAACTAGTTTTCTGTGATATTGATATCATTAAAATGGGTTCTTTCTGTTCTTTCGTATCGTTCAATCGTAAATACGATTGTCGCCAATGCGAGAAGTTGAACGAACGCGTTTTCACCGTTTTCCGACGCACAATTACGTAACATTTTGTTCTTACGAAGTAAGTGCACGTAAGTAAAAATAAATACCATCAGGGATGAACTAAAATAACACCGACTATTAAGACCATCGAGAATAATGCGTTAAAATGGTTTAGACTCGTGTATAGAATGATGAAGTCAGAAAGCCGAAACAGATTTTTGAGGCGAGACCAGAGGAAGAAGACTGTGGAAGACCCACGAGAACTTCGGAAGGATATGTAGCAGTGCCGTAAAAGTGGAACTACAATGCGAAACGTACAGAGCAAGGCACACGAAAGACTACGGGCTACGGAATTGGCTAACCCGATGCAGATAAGACAGAAAAATCTGTTGTTGTGATTTCTAATGTTCCCTATAGATAGTGCCAGCTGGATCGTTCATGAACCAGGATTGTTAGTGTGCGTATATTATCTGGAAGATGGCGTTTAGGAGTAGAGTAGTCAGTTGAGTAAAGAATGCGTAAAACTCTGTATTTTCAAAAATTACATGCATTTCTTTGTGTCTTCCTTCAAAAAATATACAAGATATAAAGGGTTTTCCTTAATGAAATCTGAAATTAAAACTGCACTTTAAAATAATGTTAATGATAATATGATTTTTTGTAAATTTCAAATGCAAATGTTCATGAACATCTGCAATATGTTTGTATGTGATTTAGCCTTAACGTGATGAAAAATCACATGTCGTCGTTCGTCGAATGTTATATTTGCCTTAATTAAAAAAAAACACTAATATTTTCGAAAAATTATACATGACATTACGTTAAGACCAGTCTTTATACAACAGATTTCATTATCGAAAAAAGTGCATCTTGAATAGTGTAGTTGTAGGAAGACGCTGAAAAAATAAGCTTTTGAAATTTTTTAGCTTTATGTGCTGTTAATTTTGTTGTAACTCCACTAGATGGCGTTGCAGAACAAAATTGCGCTTCATTATAATTCACTTTCCATTCAAATTGCGCTCCACCTGGGCTTCATTGTTGCTGAGGTTTGCTGTGTGACGTAGGGCGAGGCCGAGAAGGTCAGGAGAGCCACAGATACACACGGAGAGAGAAACGCAGAGACGCGGAGAGACACGGACGGAGAAAGAAAGAGACAGTGACAGAGACGGAGACAGACAGGAAGAGTGTCAGAGAGAAACAGAGAGCCACAGAGACAGAGTCAGACAAGCTTAGACAGGGACACAGAGAGACGGAGAGAGGGAGAAACGGAGAGAGAGAGAGAGAGAGAGAGAGAGAGAGAGAGAGACAGACAGACAGACAGAGGCGGAGAGGCAAAGAGAAAGGGAATGAGAAAGAGGGAGATGAAGGACAGAACAACGTCTGCCGGATCTGCTAGTATACTATATATTTGTAGACAGTAAAATTGGATAAATAATTGAACGCATATAATTACTAAAATATTTTTTAATTTAAAATTCAAAGCATTCATCAACAAAGTGCGTAAGCTTTTTGGCGTCTTTCTACATTGACCCGATGGTTACATATTTGATCCATTGTTGGTATTAATTCAATTGGTTCTGTTCCGTTTAATTCGACGTCAACCAGGAATGAGTTTGCCGTCCTTAAGGCGTCTAGTCCCTTTCCGAATGGAGGGATACTGCTGTATTAAATTTAGTGTTATTCCAGATTCCATTATTGATTGATGAAGATTCTTCAAAACTACTGAGAATATTTTTTTTGAAGGGTCTTTGAATGAATGAAAGCTGCCTTGAGTTTGTATTAGATATTTAATAATATTGGTGTTTGGGCACTGATCTTGACTTTGTCACATTAAACGTCTGCTATGAAATTACTTGGAGCTTTGTGCCTTATTCTTCCTTTGTGAAATTACGCATGTTTGTTATTTGTGAGCCACGTATACGAGTATTGGAGGAAGTTTACTTGTTTGAGACAAACTATCTTTCAGAGATTGATACGGTACGCAAATCTCGAATACTTGGTTTCGATATTAACGTTTCGTAATTCACTAAATCTGTTTTGGGCACAGACATTATATTCACGTTTACTTGACGATTTAGACGGGTCACTAAGCTCGTTAGAATCTACACCCTTTTTGCTGTTTCCGTGACAGTTCGAGAGTCCACCGACTGAAATTTTTTTCTGGTGAGAGAGATTGCCGAGAGGAGGTTTGATGGTATTTGCAGTTGAATTGTCAACCTCGAGATACAAGGGTGGTGTATTCCATATCTTCACTGGATGGTAACATTTGAAAGTTTTGTTGCTCTTCATCTCAAAAGTCGAATTTATTGTTGTTTAAGATTAAAGAGAATTTCTTATTGAATGTCCTGTTGATGATTTGATACCCAATGACGTAAACTAATCACACGATATCATTTAAGTTTCACTGCAACTTCGCTTTTATTTTATTTTTTTCGAATCAAATTTTTTAAATAAAATTCAATTTCATCAAAGAACCTTAGAAACTGTAGGTGACGTATGGGGGAGGAGTACCATGTGCGCACGTTTTTTTGAGCTCCAGAATCCCCTCCTAAC